AACTCATTTACCATTTCTTGTACTTACTATTGAAGCAAAATCCTTGACTTTCCTCATATAACAAACCAGGCAATACTGGTATCTGAAATTAATTATGCTCATTTAAGTAAAGTAATATTCTAAAAAAAGTTACACAGAAGTACATTTTACAGATTTGGGTTATTCAGGGATGTCTGCACAGAAAGTGATCCTTTATGTAAGCATCTTCAAAATGTAAATAGGATTCTTCAGCAATATAGGAAGTTCAAAACCAAAAAAATCATTGCTATTTCCAAAGTAGACTGAAACCCCTGTTGCCTGAATAAGTTTTAATTGCATTGAGAACTAACCTTGGCAATTCACAAAATAAAATCAAAGCTACTACAGAGGAAGTAATATCAAGTCTTATCTTGTGCTTATCTGGTAGAAAAGAAATGTCAACTGCTGCTGAATGGTGAGGAGGAAAAGATAAATTTTCCAGATCCTCCTAGCAAAGAGATTGCATACTAGATGTTTCTAATGACTATTCAAGAAGCTTTTTAATTATGAAATACTATGCATGCTTCTGAATAGCCAGGGAACTGTACAAAAATGTAATTGGCAGCACAAGAGTGCAAATAAATCATTTCAGAGACAGAAAGAAAATTCAATCTTAGTAACAGTTATGTAATAGGAACAAAATATGCATAACAAAAACAGGACATCATTTAATCTCTCAAAAGTATAATTTATAGTGAATGCATTTTACTCAGCACTGCAATTTGTAATTTAATATGTGCATAAGCCATAATGAAAATATCATTGTAATTAACTTTGAATTACACAATCTTACATCTTTTGTTTCAAAACTAAAGAATGCTTATTATAAAAGCTCTGCTTCAGTGTTTCACAGTGGTGTTCCCTGCCTTGATTTAACATGCTTGACTTACTGACTGAATCTGTTCTATTTCTGGCTCTCAGGATTGCTCAGAGTCTGTGGGGACCGAGAGGTTGAGTAGGACTACAGATGCACATCTGTGGAAGGTTTTATGCGTGGCTTTTTTTTTCCCTGGTAAACTGGGTGATTATGATTGATGAGCCCAGCATTAGCGTAATGTTATCAGGGACACTTTCTGCCTCTGTCCTTTGTACCACTGCTGAGGTCAGACCATAATCGTGTTAGCATTGAACATAGTGCTTTATTAATGTTTCATGAGTAACTCCATAGTAATCAGTCTAGGTTTGTATGGATAAATAAAACTGCTACAAAAATCCCTAATGTATACACTGAGTGTTTTAGAAGCTACTGTAATAAGGTCTTAAAAGTAACTTGATTGAATGTCTTTTCTGGTCTTTAGAATAAGTCTAATTTCCACAAGTTTAAAGGAATCTCTTTTGATGGAAAACCATTTCCACGTTCATTTCTGTGTTTAGGTTGAAGCATAAAACACCCAGCTGAACAATTAAGTGATATAACTCAAAACCCCTGTCTGCCATTTATTAATTTGCACAGAATTTTAGTAAAGTTTGTTAACCAATTGGTTAAATTACGTCGATTTATGACACTGTGCCTCTTGATGTTTTATAGGCTATTCTCTGCTTTTTTTGGTAAGTCTCAGGATGAAATGTTGGAATTCTTGCTGTGATTTAAAGAAAATGTTTACATTCATAAATGTGCAAGTAGTATATAAGGATTTGTACTTACTCCCACATAAAATTACACATTATATATGCCTGCAGCAAGCAAAAAAGTATGTATGAACACAAGAAAATAGTGTCAGCTAGGGAAAAACAAGATCCCACTGTATGTTGTGCTGTACCACACAGGATCCTTTCCACTGAGGTGAAATGACTACTGATGATTTCATTAGACAAGGGATCAGGATAACACTTGAAATATTTCTCAGTTTTCTGTAAACGTGTTCTCTGCTTGCTTGCTAAGTTGTTGTAGAAATTCCAGGCTTGCACAAGCTTGCTGTGTTTTACATGTCAGCATCACACCCAGGCTATTTTTTTTTCTTAAGATAGATTCTTGTATAACAGTCAAACTTGGCCTGGGGATGACCTAACATAATACATCTGCTGTCCGGTTCAAATAATGGAATCAGACATTAGGGTAGGGAATGTCAACCTTCCCAATCCCTTTATATTTGTTCCTTTGACCAGTCCCAGTCTAGTGACCAAAAAGACAGTGTACTGGTAGCTTGTTGTATGTGTTAACAAAACCCTCCATTAAGAAGTGTTTCTGAAAAATTATTACACATTCAAAGTATTGCATTTTCAAAATGTAATTCCATTACTTCTTACTGCATTTTTTGTGAATACTATCTGCATTTTTGTGAAAGGGATTATCCTTCTTTAGCTACTTGCTCTTTTATAATAAGCTTTGTAAAATATTATGCATATATCATGCTCTTTAAGGTCCCAAAGTTATTCACTTTGCTTTTATCCTCTGAACTCCATCCAAATATGAACGCTTCTTCTGTTTTCTAGTCACCCAGATGTGAATCCAATATTCCAGGTGCAGTCTCAAAAGAACCACAGACAGGTACAACTGTTTACATCCTCTGTGATGCAATGATTCTCCATAGATTGCATCAAAATACACTTATTTCTGGTGAATAGAGAATTACAGTTTTGTTTAATCTAATTGCCACTTATTGTCACCCTTACCTTGCTACTGCTCTATTTTTGGTACTATTTTTGTTTCCAGACTTCTGCTTCTTATTGAACATCTTAAATTCTTTCCTTCCAAGGTGATTTTCAGTGTATTTTATGCATCTAATTCAAATAAATCTATGCCTCTTTCTCTTGTTTTCCAGGCAATTCCTAACTTTGTTATTATTTGGAAACTTCTGCAGACTTCTCACTTGAAGATAGCATGTATCTGCACAGAACTGAATTTTAACTACTGATCATGCTCTTGCTAAAAGAGCATGATCAGGGATCATGGGATGAATAAAGGCCATGCAGAAACTGCCTCCCAGCAAAACTGTATAATAATGGCATGATGCTCACATCTGTGGGGAAAGAGGTGGAAAACAGTATCGGAAGGGTCTGACACATATGGGAGATAATTTTTGATTTTAGAAATCTACAAAGTATTCAATTAGTTGAAACCTGTAATTATACTACTACTCTAATCTTAATATCAGTTTGTCTGTCTCCTGGCAGTCTAAGCAGACTTACACATGTATGGAATCAGTCATTACCTAACTATCAAGTAGTGTAGTCCTAAAGGGATTTAAATCCTGTACTCTAAATTCATGCAAGCAGTTGATTTCTTCAACAGTGCAAAAAAAAAAAAAAACAACAACAAGCAGAAATTGCACAAGGGAAATGAAAGAAACTAAAGATAAAGCTTTTCTTCAGGTTATCTCTTATCACATAGTGCACATATCCTCCTATTAATCATTCCATCTTTGTGGAAAGGAAAGATGAATAAAACTCAATTTAAGTTACAGGAAGGAAAAGTCTTTATAAAATTTCTGAAAATGAGTCCTTAATATGCATCTCTCATTACATCCTTCTATAGGGGGCAGCTTGTTTCTCCTTTTCCACAAAGCAATCACACTACTGTTCTTTCAGATGTCAAAACTAAACCTTTAGGTCAACTTTAGTGTGCTTACCTTTTGGCTCAGTTTGGGTCTAGCCACAAACCCTACCCAAGAAAGGGCTCTGTGCAGCGACACGGGCACTCCAGAGTACCTGTGATTGCATATCCCACACTTGAGAATGCTAATGAACTCTAGTGACCCTTTGAGGACACCTCCTTCTTTACTAGTCAAATTGCACTTGAATTTCTTTCCGTCAGCTGTGACAATTATTTGATTTTAAAAATAATTTTACAAAATATGCAGCTATAAGAGAAATCAGCCAAGAAACATTGTTCAGCTTCTTCCTGTCAATGACAGACTAATCTGTCAATGACAGAATAATTTCTCATAGCTGTGTTTCATATGTCTCAAGTGATGAGGTTGCACTCACTTCCTTAGGAGACTGTTGTACATATGTCAAACTACTTACTCTTCTAAATGGAGGGTACTTCTAAATCATCTACATCTAGGAATAAGTTTGTTTTAATAACATTCTTCTATTCTTTTGAACTTCATAGAACTACTTTTTTCTATCAATTCTTGAAGAACAATTTTCTTTAAATAGACAGTGCTTCAAATTAAATTGCCAAATTGATCAGAAAAAAATAGGACCAAACCAATACTAGATTTACAATGCTACCACAAAAGCACTATTGGGAATAATGCATAAGCTGAACAGTTCTGCAGCTGTATAGAAAACCATAGCTTATCAAAATCATAGTCCTGACTCTATAAGCAATACAAGCAATATGCATTTTAAGGAAGAACTATTTCCAGAACAGAACCATAAAATGAACTACTGTTGACTAAAGTATCAGAATATACCTTGCTATTCCTGAAAATTAATAAAAGCATACATATGTATTAACTTTATCAATAATAAAATAATTATCCAACAAATGAAGGAGAAAAAGATAAAACATAAATGTTCTTTCTGCTTAAATTCTGCATGCCTTGTAATAATTTACATCAGATCAGTTCTTTTGCAAAATTTCTTCAGGGACTGCAGTTGTTGGCTTATGTTCACATTTCTACACTTCCAGTTCATCTCTGATGAACAGGAAGTGCATATCTTCAGGCGAATAAGGAATACAAGATGTCTTGCAAGATAACAGCATATATAGTAATCCTTTATTTTTTTAATGTAGAAGGTGGTGAGGAGGGACACACAAATTTTTGAGGCTATCTTATACTGTCCCGCTCATGCCCATCTGATGCTCTCTCAAGAGAGAGTAAATAACTAAATTTAACTTTCCATAATTTGGAATTTGGGCACATGTAAGGAAAATCCACTGTAAAATAAAGGGTTCTGTCAAGCAAGGCAGAATTCAAATTCTCCTTCACTTTTTACTTTACAAATCTAGTCCTAAAGAGATGAAAACAGAATTAGGTTAGCTTGTTAAAACACAGAACCCCTTACTTAGGCTAAACTAAAGTACAGCTTACCATCCTGTTGATACGGACGAAGTCTTCGGGCTTCTTGGCCCATGGAGGGAGATCAACATCATTCACGACAATTTCGTCTTCCCTGATTCCCAGATTATAGCCATTACTGTTGACAAACATCTCTGGTAGGTAGTAAAATTCTGGAATTAACTCCTAGCAAGGAGAAAACACACAATGAGACTTCATATTTATACAGAGATGTTGAACGGCGCTCCCAGAATCAGGCTCCTTTGTAGTACACATTAAAGCATTCATGGTTTTGTTTGAGTCTCTGTGCACTTGTTTTAAGAAATTTTATAATCTGTTTTCTTGTACTTACAGTCAAACTTCTTTCTCATAACGAAATATTCAATCTTTGTTTTCCCCATACCTGTTTTTACAAAAAGCACAACTTTGGAAAAGCAGTGCATATCATAAGGGAGACCTCTTCAGAATAACAGATACAAGCAACTGTATGCCAGGCCTTCAATATGAAAATACATTGGATTTTTTAATCAAGATTTAACAAAAATACTTAAAAACTGAAAAAGTTGCAGATATAACACTGCCTTGATTTTAGTTTCTCTATATTTTTTAATTGCATAAGAAAAGGTGGCAATTTGACTACTTATACAAAGAAAAATAACTCAGGATGAATAATTTTTTCTATTCTAAGAAAACTTCAAAAATACGCGGAGAGAAAGATATCAGTACAACAAATGCCCTTCGAACAGATATACATGATATTTAAAATGTGAAATATAGCATAGAATATTTCATGTGAAATATAGCATAGCAACTGCATAGCAACGGTTATCTGCATAGTATAATACATGTAAAGGTGTGAAGTTATTCCCAATTTCCAGAAGAGCTAAATAGAAATTCATTTTGACATAATAAATATTGCTATTTTTTGCTATTATTTTAACAGGAAGTATTGAACTGCAATAACAACAGAAAAGCTTTAAAGCTCACTATCTCTTTTCTAATATCCAGATATAGATTAAATTCACCAAATTACATTGTTAAAAGCATTATGGCCTTCAGTTGTGTAACATGATCAAAATTGTTGACACAGCACCTGAAACCTGAATCTCTTCATGGGCCTTTCAAAGGCTGCAGACATGCAAAGAGTAAAAAAAAAAAATCACTGCAGACACAAACTTATCTAATTAAATCTGATTTGCAACTCCATAGAGAAGAGAGAAGTTAAAGTATAGATGGTCCTTTCAAATTCATTAAGTAAAAAAAAAGTGTACTTGTTACAATTTTAAGCATGTTTAGAGAGGCAGTTTAACTGCTTCTTTACATCATTTTAATACACTACAGTTTGAATTCAGATTAGACTAAAATGCAGTGCCAATTAATATCTAACCAGTGCAAAACACTAACCAAGTGAGACATCACTGAACTTGGATAGCTCATTATGAAACAATCTTCTATTCCAAAAAAAAAAAAAAAAAAAGAAATTACTACATGCAGTAAGTAATAAAACAGCAGCTAGAGCAAAGCCAAAGTAAAAATAATCCTGAATATTCTATAAGGTTAAAAGAAAAAAGATTATTTTCCTGACAATCTTAAGTTTTATTATATACATCTCTAATTTATTCAGGGTATTTCTAAAAGCAGTCTTACCCCCTTTTCCCCAAACAGGATTCACTAAGTCTCAGGTTCCAGAAGAAGCTTTTCAGTTTGCTCTAATGAAGCCCAAAGAAGAATGAATAATCCTCACAGTTGGAGAAAACTATACAGTAATCTTTCAGGAGTTCAACAAATTATTACTAATTCAGGACTAAGAGTAGGTCACAACCCAACATATGCTACCACAGAAATTACTGATAAACTAAGATCATTACCTTAAAAAAAAAAAAAAAAAAGAAGAACTCATAAGGACCTCAGAATTATGAAATATGAAAAATTCAAAATTAATTAAAAGGCCAATATTCAAATGAAACACAATTTATTACAGAAAAAAGTAAGCAAAGTTTGTTTCTATTTTGTATAACAGCCTTGAAACACATACCACAGAATTTTAATTATTATTGATCTTTATTCAATATGGTGGCATACTAACCTGTAATGTCACAGGAAGCAAGACTTTTGATTCCATCAAAGATAAGTTTCCTTTTTCAGTTTTAAATGTCCTAGCATGTAATTGTGGACTTTTACACCTAACATACCTGAAAGATTTGTGCTACCCAGAGACACATCTAGTGTTTAACTCAATTCTACTAACCTTTCAGCTTCAGGGGCATCTTGAAACAAAGGGATTTAAGTCACTGAGTATTTTAATGGTATTTCCATTTAGTAATTTTATCTTTGTTGCTCTTTGCTTTCAGTGTAATTTAATGTTCCCTTGTCTGGTATAGCAGAAAACATAAACAGAATAAACAAAAGTATACTACTAACTTTCTTCATAAGATTTATTGTGTTGTGTATGTTTAGTTCAAACTGTCTTATTCCTGTGCTCTGGAAACTAACCAGTGCCAGACTTATAAATCCTCTTCAAATAACACCCTCTCTAGAACCCTCGTAATTTCAGTTACACATCTCCTGGTAAGGTTTTTTTAGTATTTTTGTTTGTTTGGTTGGTTTTTTCTTTGTTTGTTTTTGTAGGTTTTTTGTTGTTTTTTTGGGGGGTTTGTTGGGTTTTCTGTTTTATTTTTTAGTCAAAGCAACAAAACTAAACATAATATTATAGAAAAATTAATAAACATGCTCTGTTATAGCCTCAGCATTCTCTCCAATGTTATTTTTAGTGCAGCCTACAATTTTCTTTGCTTATTTGAGTACTATTTAGCATGAATCAAATGTTTTCTTGAAATATGAGCAATGTCGCATGTGACCTTTCCCAGATACTTACATATTTCCCATACTTCATATTAACCATTCAGCTTTCTGTGGTAGCATTCAATATTCCTCTAGTCATTTTGCTGTCTCCACTATTGACCAGACTAAGAAACCACAGCACTCAAAAATAGCTCAGATAAATAAATCCTTTTTCATTTCTAAAGAATGAATTAATATATACTAAAACACAGACCTGCTGTGAAAGCCCGTGGCACCTGGTATATATGAACTTGTTAACATTTGGAATCATCTTCAAAATGTGTATTTAGCTACTTAGAAGCATAGAAAATACAAATAACGTAGATAAGTATCATAGAAAAGTTTGTTTTTATGTGTCCAATTTTTGTTCTACTGTGAAAAATTAAAGCAGCTGTCTCTTCTATCTCATGCCAATGGTAGGCACTGGCTGGGGATGGAAAGGCCAATATTCCCTTCCCCGGGGCCCCTGAGCATGCTTTGCTAGGAGAAGTATAAGCTGGGAGAAGCAGAGAGAGGAAGGATTAGCAAGGACAGTGAGGCAACAAGGATGGAGCTTGAGAGGTTGCTGTGAAAAGGAAGGAGAAGACAGGAGTGACTCTCAGCAGAGACGATGACAACTGGGGCCCAAAAAGCCACTGAAAGTTGCAAGAAAAAACACAAGAATGCAGGAAAAAATAACATCAGCAATGGCTAGAGATATTTTCAAAAAGTATTTACATTTTTCTCAGCTAAAGTTTGGGTTTTCTTTGTTTCACAAATGGCTATGTGCCAGTTCATATTCTAATAAAGATTATGACAAGAGAGAGCCAGTTCTTTTAGTGCTTTTCCTGTTATGGATAGGAAACACATACTCAAATAAATAACTGCTTCAGGGTCACATTTAGGGAGGTGCCCTTGTCCAATCCTCCATTCCAGATGAGGTTCAGCTATGCCATCTATCCTGCAAGATATCTGTCTACCCTGTTGTCCAGAATTTGAGTGACAGTAACTCCACAATCCTTCCATCAACTGACTTCAGTGCTCTTCATTTGAGGAAGTTTTACCTAACAACTGGTTTGAATCTTCCATTACACAATCTAAGTCCATTTTCCCTTGTCCTAGCTATCAGTCTATCCCAGATACAGAGAATAAATTACTATTTTCTCTTTGCATAGTTTATTTAATGTTTGAAAAGCATTATTCTACCAGCTCTACAGTCTTTCAGCTCCTAAAAGTCTAAATGAAGGACAATGATGTATTGCTCCATTGCTAAGTTTTAGTTAGAGAAGTGCAAAATACAGTTTCAAACTCCCCAAACTATCTAGCAGAATTATTGCTAAATGCTGTATAACTTTATTTACTCCTATATATACTTTGGCCTTATTATATTTTATCACATGCTGATCACACAGAAGCCAAAATAAATGCTTTTATCAACCTCTGTAATCTTTCGATTGGAGATTGAGATTGCATACTTTTCTGACAGCATCTGTTATTTTTCATTCATTTAGCACAGAGTGTAATTTGTCAGACAACATACATTTTACAGATCACCAGCCTCATACTTTAGAAGGGTCATTGTTAAATTCACCTGAAGATAGGGACAAGGAGACTCAAAAATTAGGAGGAGAAAAATGTATCTCAGGGATGATATTTACACAAAGGGATAGCCCACAGAGAACCTTCTGTCTCCCAATCCGCTTTCCTCTTGACAGACAGAATAGTTGATAACAGAATTCTTAAAACTCCTATTGCACCTTCAGTGGCACTAGTGGTAAAAGGTCAATGAAAAGCCAGGTCTATGCAAAGGAATGCTTGTTTGAAGCTACTGTGACCTTGAGAGGTTTATGTTTCAAGATACCAATGTTCATGAAAAACAAACCTCAAAGTATTTTCTTACTTCAATACACACATTGTGCCATCCAGTGCAAATCAAGACATGAAGGAAAATACATATAAAAAAAACTTCCATCAAAAAGACCTTCCCCATAAGTTATATCATTTTGCAGGCATAAAATGAGAGAATGCAAAGAAAGAAGACACAGAAAACCAGCGTTTGGTTTCTTTGCTCTTGCCAAAACATATCAAAGGTTCTGAATAAATCTTTCTGAATACATAACCTGACATGGGTAATTTCTTACCACAAGAAATATCTAGGGTTCAAAGAGTTAATAAAAATAGGGATTTTAGTGATCTAAATCTATTTGTAGTACTTTCTGTCTAGTTGTCCTTGATATTTCACAAACTGGTAACCTCCTCTGCTCCCCTTTCATTCACACTTCTGATAAGATAGGTTAGCTTTCTATCATTTAATAGTCAACTACCTTTCAAACAGCTCGAGAAGCTTGACTTTTCTCAGGTGAAGA